GAGAAGATATTGATTAACAAGTAGCAGTTAAGCATGAAAAGCATTTAGAGCATATAACAGTCAAAACAGGAAGGAAATAATTAAGGAAAAGCGGAAAATCAGAGAAAACAGATAATTCGGCGGCGTATAAGCACTCGTCACATCGCATATACGCCGCTAACATGAAATTCACATAGCACATAGTCCAAGGATTCCTAATTCCCTCAAGTCAAGGTTAGACACAACAGTTACCTCGCTCCAAAGACCACTCAAAGTTCAACCACAGCTTTGCCTTTCAAACACGCCTTCGAACCAACAATATCTAGCAAATTACCAACCAAACGATTCAAATTAAGTCGTAGGAACTACCCGCAATTGTAAAGAATTCAATTTAGGTCATTATTAAAAAAGTCAACAAAAGTCAACACCCGAGCCCGCTTGGTCCAAACCCGAAATTCAGAGCAAAATTCGATTACCCATTCACCCCCAGCCCGGTTATGTAATTTATTTTGAAATGCGACCTCAATTTGAGGTCTAAATCCCTATTTTTCAAAAATCCCTAATTCTACCAAAACCTCCAATTTACATCATGAAAACTCTAGATTTTAGATTGAAATCTTAGGAAAAGTAGTGAAAGATTGAAAGAAACTAGTTTAGTATCACTTACCAATGATTTGGGGAAGAAAAGTTCTTTGAAAAATCGCCTCTAGGGTTCTTGAGTTTGAAAATTTGAAGAATGAATTAAAAATCCCATCTAAATCATATTTACCCACCTGCAGATGCCGCATTTGCGACCTAGGGTTCGCAAGCGCGAACCCCGCAAATATGAAGGAACCATCGCAAATGCGAAGCCTCTCACACCTCTGCTTTCTTCGCAAATGCGAAGATTAGTTCGCAATTACGAACATGACCCTCCGCAATTGCTACCCTGTGATCGCATTTGCGACCACTGCTTTCCCCAGACTCACTTCGGAAATGCGAAGAATATTTCGCAAATGCGAAATCTGTGTGGCCCAGCTACTCTTCGCAAATGCGAATCCAGCAGAGGTCGAAAATCCGATGCCTGATCTCGCATCCTGCAACACAATTGAAATACCAGCAACATTTTCTAAGTCAAATTTCACTCCGTAGCCTATCCGAAACTCACCAGAACCCTCGGGACTCTAAATCAAAAGTGCACACAAGTCTAAAAATATCATACGAACTTGCTCGCGCGATCAAATCGACAAAATAACACCTAGAACTACGAATTGAGCACCAAATCAAATAAAATTTTCAAGAAAACTTTGAAACTTCTATTTTCACAACCAAATGTCCGAATCACGTCAAACCAACTCTGTTTCTCACCAAATTTCACAGACAAGTCATAAATATGGTGTTGGACCTATACTGGATTCCGGAACCAAAATACAGACCCGATATCTAAAAGTCAACTATTGGTCAAACTTTTCAAATTCATTAAGCCTTTAACTTTCAGATTTCAACAAAGTCCGATATCTTGGGCTAGGGACTTCCGAATTCAATTCCGGACATACACCAAAGTCCCAAATCACGATATGGACCTACCGGGACCGTCAAAATACGAATCCGAATCCGTTTGCTCAAAACGTTGACCGAAGTCAACTCAAATAGATTTCAAGCAAAATTTCATATTTTTCTTAGTTTTTTTTTTAACATAAAAGCTTTCCAGAAACATGCTCGGACTACGCACGCAAATCGAGGAGGACAAAAATAAGGTTTTTAAGACCTCGGAACCCAGAATTTGATTTTAAAACATAAGATGACCTATTGGGTCATCATAAATTTGGGGGGACGGGATCTTAGCCTCTATTTTCTCAAATGCTGCCTCTTCATCACATTCGACTTCTTGGATCATTATTTCAAGGTTAGACTGGCTTTTAAGATCTGGCTGAAAGTTTCTCATGCATTTCATGTTATTACAACCTGCATAAAAAGAACTGTAAAAAGAAAAGGCGAAATGGCTTCCTGGCCACTTAAACTTGTAGGGCTTTTAAAAGCCGATACATAAACTTGCACTTTTCCCATTTGAACACTCCAACTTGATGCAATAGATACTAATAAACACAGTTGACCGTTGACTATGCCTACGTGGAAACGGTGTAGCTGACATGGCTAAATTGTGTGCAAATCACGCTACAAAGGCGCGTGAATAGTATTATTTTTATTAAAAAAATATGAGAATCAAAATAAAATATAGATGAGACCAAAAAAGAAAAGAAAAAAAAGAGGCCTCTCCCCTTCCCCTTCTCTTTTCCCCTCCCTCCCAACGTCTGTCGTCTTCCCCACAAAAAAAAAATTATGTATGCATTTTGTTGCATCCATTTTTGCTCTCTTGCTCTCTACAATACTTCATTTCTCTCTCTATATATATATATATGTAAATCTGCACCTGTATAATTATATCTATAAATCTCTGTTCTATTTATCTTCATCGGAACTATAACCCGCCACCGACCACCGCCGTTATTTTTTTTCACAGTGTTACTTTGACCCACTTTTTTTTTTGGCTTAAGATTCAGTTCAAGATTCTATAATTTTATGCTCATTTGCATGTCTGGTGCTGGAGTTATTTCTTTTTATTTTTTTTAGTTCTTGGGGTTTATTTGATCTGGGTCAGTTGATTTGTTAACGGGTTTTTTCTTAGGGTTTTGGTTGATTTAAGAGTTGATTAATAAGATTTGACTGCTAAAAAGTAAAGCAGAGAAAAGAGTTTACAGGAGAGGTAGCCGACAGTGACAGAGATGCCGGAGATGGTGGTGAGACGGAGGTAATCGAGGGTGTTGAAATTGGCAATAGTCTTAGTAAAAGGTGGGTTTCGATCTATAACTAGGTATTCCGGCTTTGCCGATGCTGTTATGTTTGTGTTCATCTTCCCTATTAGCAGCTGCTCTTTTGGCCAGTCGCCGGCGACGGAACGCTAGGATGGTTTTTAATCGGAAAATGCAAGTGTCGGCAGTTGTATATGTTCATCTTTGCTATAATTGTGGGTGACTGATTAATACAGGTGTCAAAAAAAAGTTAATGAATGGATGATGTGGCTATACAAAATATTGAATTAAATCCATGTCAGCAGCAACTAAACAACACGCACCATTGCAAGTGTTTATTAGTAGCCATTTTTTCAAGTAAAGGTGTTCAAATGGAAACTCAAAAGTTTATATATCAGCTTTACAAACTGATACAAGTTTAAGTGGCCAGGAAGTCATTTCGCCAAAAGAAAAACACATTGACTTATGGGAGATAACGTTCGGAAACTGAATAATGTGTTAGACATTTGGCATTGATTATTTGAGGGGTTAACAGGGATAGTTAAAAGGGATTTAATGACTCTTCTGAAAGCTTTGATTCACTTTACCGTGCTTGTTACCTTTCCGTTTTGCATAGTTTTCTTTCTCTCTAAATGAATTGGGTGTGAACGAATGATTGTTGAGCCATGGGAGCGGGGAAAGATTAGCCCATTAGAGATTAAATTTGCTTATATACTTTAGGATTGGGCTCGGTCAAACAAGTAAAATTAATGCCAAAATTTCACGGTATAGCCAGTTTTCGGACTGGTCAATCAAAAATAGCCAGCATTTACCAAGTCAATGAAAAATAGCCACCGTTTTGCTGCAATAGAGACCGGTCCAGCATAATATACTGGAGTTTCGGTGCACTTGTGTATGAACTCCAGCATATTATGCTGGACCGGTATACTTTGGTGGCTCCAGTATAATATACTGGAGACTGGAGCACTGGTGCTCCAAACTCCAGTATATTATACTGGACCATTATACTTGCTGGAACTCCAGTATATTATGTTGGAGTTCTAGTGTATTTATATCCTGGAACTCCAGTATAATATGCTGGAGTTCAAGTATACTTATGCTGGAACTCCAACATAATATACTGGAGTATTTTCCGGATTTTGAACAGTGTTTTCGCTCAGATTTGTCTTTACATAAAAAGTGGCTAAAATACTTTTGAAATTGGGCTATTTTTGAACGACCAGTTGTAAATCTGGCTTTTTTTAAAATCACCCGATATAAGAAAATGAGCATGATTTAGAATTTTCTTTTATTTTGTCTTATTTAGTTTTCTTTCATTTGTTTATTTTATTACATTGTCTGCTAGGAGCATGCTTAGGCCGTCAACATCCGGATAGGCGAATTTAATTTTCATTTTTATTTTTCTTTTATTAGGTGGGGACAACCTCAAACCTCTTTTGCTATTTATTTTCCTTTTGTGTGTTTCTTACCTTAGCCCGAATATTCCTAAAAGCCAACAAGATCATGTATGCATTACGGAACTCGGGGAATGCATAGCACCTTCTCCCCGAGTCGAATGAACCCCCTTACCTAGAATCTTTAGTGCAGTCAGTTTTAGAGCCTAAACGTATTTTAAAGGAAAATCATTTCTAAAAAAACGGTGACATGACACACCGAAATCAAATGTCATGTGGCGACTCCGAAAAATCCTTGAAAACACCATATTTTGTCACTTTCAATTTTGAAAAACTTTTTGAGCTTTATAAATCTTTTTTATAATCCTTAAAGAGGGCTAGTAAAGTGAAAAAAGGGGATATGACAACTATAATATTTAATAAATCAAATTACATAATAATCATGTCTAATTGTTAGTTAAAGCAAATGTTACGAAATTAAAAGATAAAATAATGACAAAGAAAATGACTGCAAACGAGTTCAATATTCGTATGTCACTATTTACAGGACCAAAGATCAATCAAGCTTCTAGATTCCGCAATACCAAACAGTATACTAAAATCAAACGGGAAATTCTTCTTCCTCTTTCTTCCTCTTATCAAGAAGATTGGCTTTGCCTGTTGCAAATAAGGGGACGTCAAATATAACGTACGGTTTTGATCACAGAAAACTCCATAATCATAACTAATTAGAAAAAGTCATCTAAAAATTATCTTATGTTATATTTATTATCTGGCCTGCATTTTGGAAATTTGGCATATCTACCAACATTTCGTTTATCCAGCTAAATCTTTATCGTACATAAGAACATTACGAAGCCAGACTTACATTACCTCCTCAATCATCATTTCATCTCTAGACTTATGGATGATGCAAAGAAGAAAAGATACATATTCGAACACTCAAAACTCACCCAAAGAAAAAAAAAAAATTCAAATTTACATTTTCTTGCGCAATATTCCAAATAGAGACTCATGTCGTCTCTTTTTATAATTGATCTAGACTAGTGGGACTAGAAACTTCAAGCCACTAACAAGTCCTACTGTGCTTTATTTTTATTCTTAAAAAAGACAGCAAAAAAAAAAAAAAAAGATGGTTTTCAAGAAGCTTGTGGTTTCTTCTCAATAATGGGTCTCCAATTCACATCGACACCTTTATCTTCATCTACAGGCTTTCCTCCTGGTTCTTTAGCCAACTTCTTCCTTAGTTCTTTCTCATCTTCCACCATAATTTCATCTTGAACATTCTCTGGATCTACATCTCCAACCACCTTCTCTTTCATATCTTCAGCACTATCCTCAATTGCCTTCCAAGCATCTTGAGCTGTTTCCTTTGCTTTGTCCTTCATTTCTTTCGCCTTATCAGCCATTTCAGATACCTTACCACCCGTTTCACTGCTCCCGTAGTTCCTGTCGTGCCTCCGCTGTGGCTGTGGCTGTGGTTCCGACGACTCCTCTGTTGCAACATATCCTCCCTTTTAATATATTTCCATATGCATGCATACATCACAACATAAATAAGCATGTGCCTTTGTTTGAAAAGACAAGTACTAGTAATGATGTAGAGTTAATTTCACAAATAGCGATCCAACTTTCGATTTGTCAAATTTAATATATTTTGATGCTTTTAGTTTCTATTCTCTACAATATACAAGAATAGTCGACTTAGTTTTCTGTTAAAAAAATGTAATATTTATAGCTAAGGCACACCATATCGAAAGTTACAAGTTGTATGATCATAAAATTAACCCTAATAAACATCTCCCTAAGCCTTGTAAATAAGCAGGATCCAGAATTTAACATATCAATTGATACACGAAAAATGTATATTTTGAGAAGTGCTAAATATAGTCTGAACGAGCAGATGCACGTGTACTCATTATAGATCTGCATATGCTAGATCATCCTACAAATTGGTTCAGTATATTTTGTGCTTACTACGAAAAGACTTACCTTCCAGATTTGACGACCGATAAAGACAGAGGAGGCTCGATGTGGGAAGGCCTTGGAGAGGTTGAAGATTGATTTTTTGGTTAAGGATGCCATTTGTTCTTCTTTTGCTTGGTCAGTTACTTTTTTGGTTATTGAATGTACTTGAGATGAATCTGAGGTCTTTTAGCTCCTTTTCTTCACGGTATTCTCGACAATTACTGCATCAAGGAAGGGTTTGGTGTCTCTTGAAACTGCCACGTATAGACGTCTATGTGCCACATAGCTGCCATAGTTGGACACGTGTACACTTCCCACGTCAATTTTTGGCACTAGTACCACAGCTAACAACGGATACCATTTTGCAAGATGGCGCTTCTGCTTCTTCCTTCTACCTCCTTATATCTACCTATATTATTTTTAATCCATTCAAAAAGAATTAATCTCTTAATATTAAAATGCTTACAGTATTTTTACAAACATATGAATATGGAATCTTGTTCTCTTAAATAGGGGTGTGCATTCGAATCGGTTTATCGATAAATCGAATCGATTATTTGTTATCGGTTTATCGATTTCGATTTCGAAATTTTCCTTATCGAGTTATCGATTTCGATTTCGATTTTGTCCTCTCCGGTTTATCGATTTATCGATAAACCGATAAGAAATACTAAAAAAAAAATTAATTTTTTTTTAATTTTTTTTTTCCGTACCCTTTCCTTTACCCTAAGTCCCTAACCCTATTATTTCATCTACCACATTTAAGGAATGATCATATTTAAAGCTCAAGGGAATGAAGTTCAAATTAATGGAAAATAGATTTAGCCGTGATGATGTATTTTTTTTTTATACCGTTGAAGTGTTGGTGGCATACATTTGATCTCTTACTTTAGTTTTGTTGCATGTGCTTGTTGACACAATTGTTATGTTATAAACGGTGTTCGTCTTATTTTAGCTTCTTTTGGTCCATATTAGTTAGGCGTGTTCATAGCGATATACTTTTCGTGGAATCCCGCAAATTTTTTATTGGTGTACTCGATAACCGAATCGATAAGCCCCAAAAATCGATATATCGAAATCGAAAAAATCGAAACCTTATTGAAACGATAACGATAAGCATATGTACAAATCGATAATCGATAAGTAATTATCGATAAGGGTCAAAATCAAATCGATAAATCGAATTCACGCCCCTAATCTTAAATTAAATTTATACTGTTGACGTGAATTAATTTTTTTTACTTTTAAGCAACTACATAATTTTAACCTACAACTCTGACTTTTATTTAGCAAATAGTCACCAAAATTTTCTTCTAATCCAACAAGTCCAACGAATAGTTCTGTGATTTCGAGGTCTTAATATCTGTACAATGTTCAACTTTTACATAACATGGCTCAAGTACGCAGGTTGAAATTACCTGCAGTACGTCACTCATATTCTGCATATTTTAAAAAAAGAAAAAATGGAACAGAAATGTAAGTGATGAAAATTGTCTTAAGGTACTATAGAGAATATTTCAGAAACTAAATACCAAATCGATGCAACACTATATTTAGGCCCCCTACCAATCACTTTGTTCAGGAGAGATTTAGGCCTCATTTCTTTGCACTTAATGGAGGTTTGAATCATAATTATTCAGATCTCAGACATTAAGTGTGTTTGTTTTTAAAGTTTGAATTTTAATTATTTATTAATCATTAAGTGTGTTTGTTTTCTTTACTTCACAACCACTTAATGGGTCTGAATAGGTCTGTATGATTAAGATCTATACCAGAGACTTAATTTCATTAAGATGCTATCACATATTCATTATTAACTGCAGCCACCGCCTACCATTATCAACTACCACCATGCCGCCGCCACCACCTCCAACACCACTACAACCACCATCATCATCAATCATAGCCGCCACCATTATCGACCATCATCACCCACCATCCCCACCACTCCGACCACCATCATTCTCACCCACAATCAACACTCATCCACCTCAACTACCACAACTGACCACCCCATCACCATCAACAACCACAGCCAGCACTGCCCATCATTATAACCTACTGCCACCCACCCACGACCTTCCTCAGTCACAACTACTACCACCACCCGCCAGTATTAACTATCACCACCATCCTCAATCATAATCGCCACCACTACCAATCACTACTAACATGAACCACCATCATCAACCAAAACTACCACAAACCACCGTCTCTAGTCGGCATTTACCTGTTAGCCATCACCACCAACAACTATCATATTTTTAAAAACTATATATTCTATTTATAGAACATTAGATTAGTTAGTATTTCATTTAAATTTTATGTTTATTAATTTTCAAATAAAAATAAGTTTTAGACATAAGATGTAAAAATCAAACAGTCTCAATTATTTAGTATTCAGATCTTAATATACATCTTAATATATTCAGATGTGTATTCAGATTTAGATGTCTTAATCTTGATACACATCTTGATATTCAGATGTGTACTCAGATTCAGACGTCTTAATCTTAAAAAAAAAAACACATGAGGCCTTAGGGGATTGGCCAGAACTGCTCTGAAATTTTATATAGATCGTGTTTGAGAAAGCTGCATTTTGAAATTTACATCAAAATTAACAATAATCACTTGCAGAAAAATTAAAAGGTGCATCTGCAGCTATCCCAGTTGAAATCTACAAAAATCATGAAGTTACAAATCAAAGAAACAGAAACTCTTCATTTCCAGAGTTCTTCCATAGGAATCCCACGGTCTTGAGCAACTTCACTAAATTGCCTCATTTGCTGAACAGCTACAACAGTGGCTCTAGCATTGTTTAGGGCATTGTTACTCCCAAGCTGTTTCCCCAAGGCATTCTCAACACCAGCCATTTCGAGAACAATCCGCACAGCACCACCAGCAATAACTCCGGTACCAGGGGCTGCTGGTCTAAGCATCACCCTTGCTGCTCCAAAGTCTCCCTCGGATCTACAATTAAGTTGTTCAGCAATATTAGATCCCTAACAATAACAAGATGATTCTTTCTCTTTTCGGATTATGATGGTGTCCAAGCCAACTTGCTTGCATCTTGACGAATATATGCTACCTCCAATTATACATGTATTGGGTAACCCTACCAACGAAGATTTAGGCAAATAAAAAAAGACATGAAACGTTGTGTCTCTGTTGGAATTTGAACCTCGGATGACTGCTAGATCACACCCGGGTGCCTATAGCGAGATGATTCTTTCACGAGATGAGCTGCATAATTCTATTAACGTTTTCGGAACTACATACGTGTCAAGGCAAATACTACCATAAGATTTTCCTCAAGGCAAGATGTGGTGGAACCTTTAGACAAATCAGTTTTTTCTCATTAGGATGGCAATCAATTAAAAAGGAACAGAAAATAAAAGACTTAATTATCTATCGTATTCAATCCTCTCAAGGCCTACCATTTCATTCCTCCAGATTTAGCTACAGATATGCTGGCATAATCACGACAAGAAACCACAGCTCTACGGTCAGTACACATCCTAACATTTATAACCAGTCTTCAAAAGTATTAAACATAGCAGTACTGCTAAGTCATTAACATGTTTCTCAACTCCTAAGGAAAAAAGAATTTCCAAAAACAAACACCGCCCAAAACAAAAAGAAACTCCCCAGCTCCCTCCACTCCAACAAAAGAAACTGATAAATGACATTGACAGCTAATGGTGCGACCAGGGATTAAAAGTGAGGATAGATCAGATTAATCTCTTTCAGATGCATAGGCTAGAATCACTGATGACCAATTTACATACTTATCAGACTGATTGGCAAGCTAGCTAAAATCTAGAGAATCTCACATATTTCAGACGCATGAAATATTGGGTTACATGTAGATTTCTTGTTAGCTATTAAATCAATGAAAACAAACACACAGACACAAAAACAGAAATTTGTGCATATCTCAATTTGATATATATAGTCAACAAAATAAGAGGTTCATTACGAAACAAATACATTAGATAAAGTATAAAGTTCAGATGCTTAAATAGAACTTATTAAGTATGCCATTCTACAGGCCACGGCGTTGCCTAGCGGTCAATGAATTGAGTGAAAACCATGAGAGACCAAGGTTCAAATCGTCGCAAAGACAAAAAAAAATGCTAGATGATTTCCTTTCATCTGCCTAAGCCTTGGTATTCAAAGTTACCCGGTGCCTATACTAGTACGAGGTAGCAGGTATCCATAGAAATAGTATAGGTATGCACGAACTGGCCCAATCCATGAAGGGGAAAGTGAGATTCCAAAAGCTTTTGACTTTGGATAAATTCATCAAAGGAAAGGTTGAACCACACAAACTTCACTTTCTATTAAAGTCTTTGCCTATGTTGCTCGAATCCTTAAAAAATGCCGCAAGGTGTGTGCCAGATTCTCCAAAAGTAATGCATTTTTGGAGAATTTACACGGGTGTGGTGGCATTTTTTAAGGATCCGAGCAACATAGCTCTTTGCACAGAGGAAATGTCAATCAAGTATATCCATGACAAGCACCACATACTACTGATGTAGAAAATCCTTCATAATTCCAGTTATTGGTTATGTTTAAGGTCAAGGGGGACAACTAAAATTGGTGACTTTATCTGAGTAAAAGCCCGTTACCATGCCAATTTATGATTCGGACAAGGGTCAAAAATACCCCTTTACTATGGGAAAAGAATCATATAAACCCTCCGTTATACTTTGGGTCTAATTTTACCCCCGGCGTTATACAACTGGTGCAAAAATACCCTTCTTCCGCTAGGACCCTCCAACATGGACAAAATCATCCCACGTGGCTTGATATCTCGCCGAGGTGGCCGCCACATGGCATGCCACCTCACTAACCCAACCATTTTACACCCTTCCCCACTTCTTCCACCACCTCCCTACTTCACCCAAAATGAATATGCCATCTGAATCCAAATATAGCTAACAACAATTAAAACATAAAAGAATGTACGAAACCCAATCAAATTATCCACAATTTACCAACCATTGGAAATATCAAGCCTTGAACCACCCAAAATCCACAGAATTTAAATTAAAACTAGAAATAGTTGAATCGAAGAGAAAACAAATTAAACATATACATCGATCACTCTATAAATGCAAATAAAAAGGGACCCTTTTATTAGAATGATTCATTAGACAAATGCCTACGTTTGTTTTGTAATTTCCAGCTGGATT